AGAGAAAGAAAGAAAGAAAGAAAGAAAGAAAGAAAGAAAGAAAGAAAGAAAGAAAGAAAGAAAGAAAGAAAGAAAGAAAGGAAGGAAGGAACCAATGCTTGAAAGGTGTCCTCTCCCATCATGTAAGTGCCATGACACATTTGTTCTCCACCCCACAAAATACACAAACATGGCTAAACAAATACATATAAATAAGCAAGAGGGTCAGTGATAATGGCACTTGCCACCAAGCCTGACAACCTGATGGAAGCCAGATGGTAGAAGAGAACTGATTCCCACATGTGTCCTCTGACCTCTATACATCTATCATGGTATACAAGCATCATACACAGACTAAACATAATTGTAAGAATGTTACGATTTTAGTATTTATATGTATCTCTGTTTCTGTGCACACGTGTGCAGTACCCATGGAGACTAGAGGAGGGTGTTCAGTCACTTGGCACTGGAGTTACAGGCACTTGTGAGTTGCCTGACATGTGCGCTTAGAACCAAATTCAGCTCCTCTGGAAGAAGCCATCACTCTTAAAGGCTGAGCATTTCTCCAACCCATTTTTCTTCAAAAACAATTAAAAATAAAAATTCACAGGACTCCCCAGCACCACATGGCAGATCACAACCATCTGTAACTCCAGTTCCAGGGGATCCAACATCTCTGGCTTTCTGGGCAGGGCTCTGCACACAAGTGGTGCACATATACACACACAGGCAAAACAACCAGACACATCAAACAATCAAAAATAAATGATGATGACAAACGAGGACACCTGCTGCTGACCTCTGGCCTCCACAGGCACAGGCAGGAACGAGTGAACCCACATCCACTCATCCATCACAACTGTACAAATGATGCGGAGAAGGCCGAGGCCAGCAGTCCCAGGGAGAAGGTGCTGCTGTAGAGCGGGCAGGCTCTGTCCTCCCTGGTTTGGGCTCCCAAAGGCCCATTGCCAAAGAGGCCACTCCCGGAACTGCCTCCCTGGGCTGTACTTTGAGCATGAGCTGTC